CAGAACAAAAATATTTTACCGTAAAAAAATTACCTGCTGTGGAGATCTATCCCTACATTCCCGACTGGATGACATTGCCGAAAATTCAGATTCTGATAAATCACTATTTTGTTCTAAATTGTGTCGGAATTTATTATTTTATCAAATGGTCCAGTCTAGAAAAACCTGATGAAGTAGAAGGCTAAGAAATACTAAGCCTTATCTGCCTCTTTTGTGTATCTTATTACAAACCTGTTCATTAAAATAGTTTTAATTATTTATAATACACCTATAATATATAAAATTTACTGTAGACCTCACAACCCCAACAAATAATAATACGAACCTATCCATTTTTTTACAGTAAAATACTTACTTTTTCTTTTGATACTGATTTAAAAACATTTTGAAATTTATCGATATTTATGGTAAATGGTAAGTGCATCAATTTTTATTTTGAAAAACTCGTGCCGTCAGATCAATGTTTAAAATTGTACAAAATGTACCAGAAATATTAAAAATGTACTTTTGTACAAACGGTCTCAAAATGTACCAGATCTGTCTAATTGTACCAGCTCTGGCAACGCTGGTTGATAGTCGAAGAGTGTCTCATAATTTTCAGTTTGTTTCTCGAGCCTTAAATCTTGAGTCTATGTGTTCTGGTGTGATTGGTCGAGAAGATGAACTGAGATGTGACGTATGGTTTTTTGATTGGTTCTAAGAATATGGCCTGATAGTTGTGTTTGTTTTAAGCAGGAGAGAGATAACATATTGTCGCTTGCACCTGTGGATGTGTTTAACGGTTCATTTTTTTGGTTACTCATATTAGCGAGAGTGAAACAGATTTCTAAGTATGAAAGAGTTAGCACTAATGCTCAAATTACTGGAAATTTTCCATGAGAGAGATACATATAATTTTAGGTGCTAGATGTTATTGAATATTGAACACCTGCAAATATGTTCTTCTAGAAAATCGAAAACCGTTAAAAATGCATTCTTGTTATTACTGGCTTTGATATTGTGAGATTTTTAAATTCATAGTGTAACGTACAAATTTAATTATAAAATATAATGTTGTTTTTATGTTTACTATATATTATTTTTACCCCCGATCAAAGAGAGAAAAAAAAGCTTGTCATTTTTAAACGAGTAAACAAACGTATTTCGCGTTTCATAAATCGCCGAAGTATTAATCCTAACAAGTCGGGATTTTAAGAATGTATTTTTCACGGTACCGAACTGTTACGAGCGAATAATGTGTGCAATTTCTGAATATGCCTACAGGCGGACGCACAGACACCGAGGTGATTCACATAGATAAATTAATATGTTCGATAAACCATTTAAATGCACGGCACTGGTAACAAGTTGTTATATCCTCAGCATACTATTTGGAGCCACTATCGCACATTACACAATTGGCTGATTGGCTTGACAGGTAAAGGCAGCAGAAAAGAAGAAAATAAAAAGAAGATTGTAAAGCATATCCGCGGTTCATTAAAATGTCCTTTATTTATTTACATATTTTGGCATTTATTTCTCTAAAAAACTAATATTTAAATTATAATATTGTATTTAACATAAATATTAGTTTGTTAAAGTAATAAAACCCCAAAAAAGTAAAATAAAGAAATATTTATATTAAAATATTTGAAACACAGGTATAGTTTAATCGTTTAATAAAAGCAAGGTGCATTTAAACGTTTATTACATACATAACATGTATACTTACTCAATATTAAAAACAATAATTGTAAGTGAAATTAAGAGTAGTATCATCTTATTCTTGGAAAATGGTCCAAATTTCAATGTGTTTCTATAAAAACAAAAAAAAGTGTTACTGAACAATTTCTCTTACCTATCAAAATGTTAGCCATTCTTACAATTATTTTTAATTAGTCTAAAATTCGTATATTTTTGGAAAAACTAAGTTTTCTGTAGCTTACAAATTCTAATATTTTGTTTACTATTTATAAAATTAAGCCTTTTCTCTTTAGGAGTTAAATTTTTGACTCTACTTTCATTTATTTGTTACAAAACAGTTGTTCTTCGTTTTGAGGGTTATTCAAATTGTTTATCACTAATACTAAGTTTACGTTTGCAACTCATTTTCTTGTTTTTTGTTGCGGATATGTAAATAAAGCTCTTATGCTGCTATGTATGTTTTTCAGCCTCAACATTTTCTAAAATCTGACTCTCGGGTTGAGTATAGTTGGGTAGAGTTAAAATGAATGTATTATTATCTAATAAAATTGGTGCAGCATTTGCTTAGTTGTTTTGGGGTAATTTTGCTAAAAGACTCTGGCAAAAAATAATCTTCATCAAGATAGCAAGTTTCATTATCTAAAGAAAGTTAAATTTAAATTCTTAAACCATTTCTTAGAATTTTAACATAAAAATGAAAAAGTTTATATTTGAATACCCAGCTTGAATATTAGAATATAAGAATACTTAGCTTTACCTTTCGACGATTTACCCGGGCCCGACATATTTTGTTATTGTTGAAAATATATTCAAAAATAATATGGGAAATAGATTCAAAATGAAATTATATTTCGTTAAGGCTAAGAAAACAATGATAAAGTCCTTAAACAAATCTAACACATAATATTAAATTAAATAATTGTTAATACTTACTAATTACATTAAATCAGCACTTATGAATCTTCTTAATCTAAAAAATAACCCTATGGAACTTATATAATAATCACAAAATAACCACAATTTATCCCCTTGGGGATATATTATCATGAAAATAACTTTTATTATGCTTTTATTTAATTGTTATTCGCCCATTCTGCCTTATACCATTCCGATTTTCATTTTTACGAGGTTGTCAACATAGTTGTAAAACCTCTCTTTAAAATATCCCAGCAATAGTATGCATTAGTATGCTATTATATGGATAGTATCGAGCTTGACAAAATCAAAATAAGATGTTTCAAATAACTCTAATCTCATGAAAGTTTATGGAACATGGCAACATCGCTTTCATCTTATTACGATGGTGGCTCCAAATAGTATGCTGAGGAACTAAACTTGTTACCAGTGCTGTGCATTTAAACGTTTTATCTTATATATTAATTTATCTATAGGTGATTCAGTAAATGTTACTTTTTGCTAAATTGAACACGAAACACTACAAATGACGACCTTATATTACTCAACTGATTATATCACCTGCTTTTACACGTTGTTGTTTTTCAATAAAACTATTAAAACTGTATTTTAATGATACTACTGGAACCTATTATCTATTAGGTACTTAGTATATCCGTATTTTAGTATATTTATCACAGTAAATATAAGTTCCATTACTTTTTGTGTCTTGATGCATGTGAAATTATTAAATCAACAATAAACTAAAAGCTACCAAAATAAATATGCATTATTTGTAATTAATAATATTCATTAAATATTTCAAATGCAGAAGAAGAAAAAATTGGAAATTTGTCTGTTACTGGTAAAAAGCTATTTGTTTCTCTATCTGTTGCTTTGATAGCTACTCATCTGCATTCACAAGACCTATGTAGGAGTACTTCAAGGCTCAGCTTTGACTCCGACATCACTTCTATTACATAATAATGATCTACTCTCAACAACTTCTAACCCTATCCATAGCTCTGCGGATGACAGCACGTTGCATACAAGTCTCCAGCCCATCTGCAAGCTCCACACCAGAAGGTTAGAATTTATTTAATACTGATATGAGAGATTCCTGAATTAAATTTCGCTAGAACGTAGATACGTATTTTCAGGGTCTAGGAAAATTCCCCGACAACAATTCCCCAATTGGAAAATTCCCCGACAAATATATTACATTAAAAAAATATATTCTATCTATCATATCAAATGTATATTCTAAAAAGAACCGTTTGTTGTACAATGAATCCATGAATCCTTTTTCCATATATTGGGATGGTCTGCAGAAACTTAAGCCTCGAAAGCTCGATGCCATCCTTCAATGGAATTATTTGTTTTTGGCAGTCCTTCTATCACAGTCTGGTAGCAATTCAACATATCAAGGGGAAATTTTGGTGCCTGACGACGTTGGCTTCTTTGCGGGCGTCCAATCCAGGTGTTCTCGAAGTAGTCAACAATTGACTGGGCATCCTCGGGTAGCATATTCTCCTCACAAAGGGCTTCGAAGGCATCGATTACATTTATTGTTGGTACAAATGCCAACGCTTGCAATAATTTAAGTTTTAATGCAAATTCTGCATCGGTTTCCTACTGGTTTTTTAGTCCTTCTGCCTGGATCTTTCTAAAGATGCACTGGGAGAAATGGAAAAAGCATCCACGATGTTTTGAAGCTGGAAATTCTTCGGTAAAAGCATTTGGTGAAATGTAATGTATTGTCGCGGAATTTTCCAGTCGGGGAATTGTTTGTCGGGGAATGTTCCAGTCGGGGAATGTTCCAGTCGGGGAATTTTCCAGCCGAGGACTTTTTGTCAGGGAATATTCCGTCGGGGAATTGTTGTCGAGGAATTTTCTTGATACCGTATTTTCATACTAAAACACTTCCTTTGATTATACGAGAATACTATATACTATATACAATATTTTTTTCGGATAAAAAACTATATACTAATTATGTCATTATCTCTAAAGATATACAGGAAGATTATTAATAGTTACTTCTTCCACAAGGCAAACTTTTAAACCCCATATAACTAAGTAACTTTTTTATTTGTTACTGCCAATTGCCCTTGAACTTGGAAATAATAATCGTGTCTTCTATTTAGTACGAAGGAGTAATTTTCAATCTTTTAGGCTCAAGAAATTCGAGAGAATATTACGATGCGCTTCTGATGGTTCCTAAGCACTTTTCTTTATGCAAAGTATCTAATATTTGACAGTTAATTTCCTGACTCGATAATTATTATTTTATTACAAATGGAGTTGGCCATTGCTGTTTGAAAAGTATTTCAGCTATTCCAGAACCTTTAATTTGTGTTTCTAGACTTCAACCAACACGCAAAACCGAAAATCCATCACTAACACTTTCCATCTCTTTTCAGGAATGCATCGAAAATCCCTCGAAGCAGCAGAACACCTAAAAGACGACACCAACAACAGCGACCACGAGGAAACCACGTCCATGCGCACCGAGAACAGCGACACCAGCGCCACCTCCAGCCAGCCTCCGCCTTCTCAGCAGACCCACGTCATCTCCAACGACGCCAAAGACTCCCAACCGAGTTACCCCGAGGATCCCGAAGCGTTCCGAAACAACTCGATAGCGTGTTTGCGCGCTAAAGCGCAAGAACACAGCGCCAAGTTGATGAATCACAATCTGATGATGCATATGCGACCTAGTCCGACGAACTGCGATGCGAACGCGAACAATCTGCAAGTGGGAGTCAAAGGGGAAGTACAGGGGATTTTCTGACAGGGCGGGGGCGAGCAAGGGTCTGATTAAGGTCTTGTAGAATTTTAAGAATCGTAGATTGGTGAATATATTCGATGTTATTTAATGAACGCAGTTTTTGGTAACATTTTTAGATGATAAATAGGTTGTGATCAAAATACACTTTTTGTTCGTTTAAACTTGATCTATTTGGCTGTTGCTTAATAAAAGAAGATCCGCTGAGAAAATTGTACGTACTTTTTTTTTAAAGATATCCTCTTGATTTCACTAGAACCACGCCACACTCAGAGGCGGCTTGTGATTTAATTGACGAGGAGGCTGGCACACCCTATATACTTAATACAAATTTATATTTCTATTAGAATACAATGTAATATTTCTGTTTTTGTAAGTACAAACCAGGCAACTAAATATTCCCAAATGTTGGCAACATGTTGACGGATGTTGGCGACGTACTTGTTGGATACAACAACTTGTATCCAGATACATGTGGGAAACAGTGTTGCTTGTCAAAACCAAAACCAGTTGCGCGTCCAAATTAAACGCAGTGTTTACAAGTGGCATTTAAAAATGGATCTATCTACCGCTACTAGTGTTAGTGCTGCTTTCATCATAATTACTTTTCATGTCCAGAAACGAAAAAGAAGATATTGGCAGCGACAGTTTCTACAAAATGGGACAAGCTATGGAGACAACTTAATGGCGGAGTTACTTTTTAAATGATGGTAGTTCGTTCCGCAATTTCGTCAGACTTACAAAATCTGATTTCGAAGAAATCCTCTGTTTGTTAGCCCCTAAAATATTTAAAAAGAATACGAACTACCGTGCTGCGATTCCACCATCATATTTGAGATTTCTATCTCGATATTCTCATAGTGCAAGAGCCCCATGTAGCATATCAATGAGTTCTACCGCTTGCTTTTTGGTCCACATCATGTTGGCTGCAAGAGATAACATCAAACTACACTGTTCTATGTCACAAATTCTTCCTTTTTTTCAATACATTTCAAAGTTTCAATTCTTCTTTTTTTGGCAGAGTCAGATAAAGAGCTTTTAATCGGAATTTTGGGTGGTCTATCAATATATTTATGAGGCACAACATCTCCTTTAATTTTTAAATTTTTACCAAAATTTTGAACTGCATCCAATTTTCGGCATCTTTTTCCACCTAAAAAGTACATTTTTGTAATAAAAATAAATTCTTTTTAATTATTCATTAGTATCCACAAGCTCGGTGTTAAATAATAAGGTATATTAACCTACAAAGTTGATCAACTATGTTTTATAAATTGATATCAAATTGAAAAAAAATAAATAAATAGGTAAGTATCTTACGTCAAAATGGTCTTCGCATATAAAAGCACGATGGTAGTTTGTGTTTTTTACTTTTGCTGCAGCCCACCATCGCTTCTGAATGTCCAGATTTTGAGGAACTTTTATGAAAATTTTGTCAACTTGGCTGGTTTTATTACTGCAGGTAGGGACCAAACACTTGAAAATATAACCAGGCATTTTCAATAGAACGTAAAATAAACAAGGGTTTCTTCACACAGTTTAAAAACAATTTCAATTTTTTTTACAAACGAGGTTAAAAAACAAAATAAATACAAACTTTGTTTGTTTATATATCAAAACACGTACCAACCTAATTTTAATACAATTTTAGAAAGAGATAACTAACCATAAATATTACTATTAGAAAAAGATGGAGATCCAAACGCGGTTTTCTTGTCAAATTCGCACAGAAGAATTCCTGTGCTGACTGTTTTATGTTTCCATCGATTCATCAGCGACCAATGAAAATAGGCGCTTCATTATGACGCGTATAATGCCGCAAAAATAATGCGTTTTAAATTATTGATTTAAAAGTGAACTTTTCAAAGCACTATAACTTTGTTATTTATTATTAATTTAAAGTAGTTTTTGTACGAAAATAATTGTTTTTTTATGCTTAATCTGCTTATAGCATCAGATTCGTTAAATTCGTTTACACTGAACACGCCCATTATAATAATATAAAATGAGCATATACAGGGTGTTTCATAATATATGCGCAGGACTTCAGGACGTGATAGCTCGTCCAAAAATATGAAAAAACGTTTCTATTAACTTACCCTCTAAAGTGCACCGTTTTTGAGATACAGGGTGTTGAAATTGAAAAAAAAAATTCTACGTCACTGGAAAAAGTACGGTTTTGAGACGCCCATTTGAACCGTTTTCTACACAAAAAAGGTACTCTTGATCATACGCTCTAAAGTCGACCGTTTTCGAGAAAAATCAAATTTTAATGTTGAAATACATGGTCAATTTTTGGAAATACATTAAAATTTGATTTTACTCGAAAACGGTAGACTTTAGAGCGTATGACCAAGAGTACCTTTTTTGTGTAGAAAACATTGGCGGTTCAAATGGGCGTCTCAAAACCGTACTCTTTTTAGTGGCGTAGAGTTTTTTTTTAATTTCAACACCCTGTATCTCGAAAACGGTGCATTTTAGAGATACACGTTAATAGAAACGTTTTTTCATATTTTTGGACGAGCTATCACTTCCTGAAGTCCTGCGCATATATTATGAAACACCCTGTATTTGTTCATGGGCCAGTTAAAAAAAGTGAGGTAGAAATGAAAAAAAAATGTACACCAAAATATATCAATATCTGTACCTCAGAGGTAAACTATGTTAAGTCAAAAAATGCAATTTCACAGAATAACGGTTTAAAGATTTTTTAGTATACTGTTAGAAGTTGAATTAACTTCAAAATTATTGTTTTAAAATGATTTATCACCCTGTATACTATAACACCCTTTATAAAACACGTGTTAACATGGTTTTATAACGTTTTATTAAATATCTCGTAAACAATGTTTGAAATGTAATTAATTAAGGAACAAAATAAAGAATGTCTTTAACGGCATATTGCCTATCACTTCATAGCGTTCGGCTGGTCGAAAGTCAAGTCTCCGCTGTCCTGGTCCTGGACACTGAAACGGGTAGATGTGGTATTGTCGACCCCAGTGGCGGCGATATCCTAATTCGCTGACTCTAACAATACAATCGGACAGTGACTTAACATATTTCATGAATTGGTAAATTCTTAAAGGGTCAAGATAGCTAAAAACTGAAACTAGCAACATGAAGATTCTCAGATGTACATAGACTTAACATATTTATCTCATTTTGACCAAATATTGACTAAACATAGTTTATTTATTGTTTCGGCCTTTACTTGATGAAAATCCATTTAATCTTGAAAGAGTACAACCAAATTTGGTAGATTTTCACACTTTTATTTTAAAAATATAAAAATTTTTAAAAACACTAACATGACATATGTTTCGAAGTACAACTTCTTTTTCAAATGTGACTAATTTACATTTCGGTATCCAATATATATACGAAATAATTTAACAAAACAAAGTACTTAAGAAAAACATCAATAACATTACAAAATAAACTAACTATTTAAAGTAAATAAGGGTACTTAGGTAATTATAATATCAAACAGATAACAATAAGATAGCACATTACCGGGATTATCTCACAGAATACTAGGAAAGAGATTTAATAAGGGTGAATTATTAATATCTAATTGATCATTTAGTAAGTTATCTGAATTTTTAAATCTATTTATTTCAAGTGTTTCTAAATGGTTTAATTTAAGGCTCTTATTTTCTATATGTAAAATTTCAAAGTTGTCTGTAGAATTATTTTTGTTTTTTGTATAGCTATTATAATGTTCGGAATAGCGTTTTTTGAAAGTACGGCCTGTTTGACCAATATACAATTTTGGACAACTACCACAATTTAATTTATATACCCCGATTTATTATTAGGATTAATTTTACCCTTATTGTTATTAATATACGCGTATTATTGGTTTTAAAAGCTACGTTAATGTTTTGGTTTTTTAAATATGATGATAACTTTTCACTAGGAGCTCCTATATATGTAAGACTCTAATATCTGCAATTTTGATCTTTAATTATGGGATAAAAACGCTATTCCGAACATTATAATAGCTATACAAAAAACAAAAATAATTCTACTTACTCAAATCATATTTTAGCTGAAAATCATTCTTTTACAGACAACTTTGAAATTTTACATATAGAAAATAAGAGCCTTAAATTAAACCATTTAGAAACACTTGAAATAAATAGATTTAAAAATTCAGATAACTTACTAAATGATCAATTAGATATTAATAATTCACCCTTATTAAATCTCTTTCCTAGTTTTCTGTGAGATAATCCCGGCAATGTGCTATCTTATTGTTATCTGATTGATATTATAATTACCTAAGTACCCTTATTTACTTTAAATAGTTTATTTTGTAATGTTATTAATGTTTTTCTTAAGTACTTTGTTTTGTTAAATTATTTCGTATATATATTGGATACCGAAATGTAAATTAGTCACATTTGAAAAAGAAGTTGTACTTCGAAACATATGTCATGTTAGTGTTTTTAAAAAAAAAATTTATATTTTTAAAATAAAAGTGTGAAAATCTACCAAATTTGGTTTTACTCTTTCAAGATAAACATAGTTTGCCTCTGAGGTACAGATATGTACTTTTATTCTTTCTACTTTGAAGTTCTCATAAAAAAGTTCCACGTTTAATCTTCGAAACAATTTTAAATAAAAACAATATCTTTTTATAAAAAAAAGAGTGTGAAATTTACCTCGTGGTCTATGAACAATAATCCCATATAGTTGTAGAAAATAAAATAAAGCAACGAAAGTTATAACTATTATCACAGAATCGCCTACTACAGAAGCGAAGGCTTGCGTTGGCACGTTTGATGTCGAGGTGGCCAAAATTTACAGTGACACTTGGTGACAGTTGACGTTTTTGACGGTCGATTTTTCGATTTTTCAATTTTTCGATTTTTCGATTTTTCGATTTTTCGATTTTTCGATTTTTCGATTTTTCGATTTTTCGATTTTTCGATTTTTCGATTTTTCGATTTTTCGATTTTTCGATTTTTCGATTTTTCGATTTTTCGATTTTTCGATTTTTC